AACTATGGTTGCTGCTTTGTCAAGGTCCAGACCTCCTGTCCAGGAAAGGGAATGGACATCCTGATCCTCAGCCTCCCTCAACGAACTGCCACCAGAGGATTGCATAGATGGCCCTGGGCTGAGTCTGGAGGGCAGGGCCTGCCTTGGGGAGGGCCTTGGCTCCTGGGAGGGGCAGACCACAGCTAGCCAAGCTGAGTTCTAAACCCTGAGCTCCTCCAGCCCTCCTCAGTGAGTTCTGCTGCCTCAACTAACCTCTCCTGTCTCTCGGCCCTTCACTCCTCTGTGCTCAGCAAGGCAAGGACATTCAGCCCATCCTGAGACCTTTGCCGCACTCAGAGACCAAGGAGGTAAGAGGGGAAGAAGGGCAGATGGAAAGGCCAGATTCAGGACCTCCTGGGTCTGGGGGCCTAAGCCTCCTAGTTCTTTCTTCTTGGCCTTTCAGATCCCTTTTGAGAAGAACTGTGGAGAGGACAAGAATTGTGAGGCAAACCTGGGGCTGTCCTTCTCCCCTGCAAGGTCTGTAAGACTCCCCACCCCTCGCCTCCTTTTCCTTTCAGAAGACCCCGATCTACACTCACTAAATGTGTCATCTGGGCCTTAGTTTCCTTTTCTGAGAAATGAAAATCTCTTGTGACACCCCTGTCAGGATTAGATAAGATTTAAAACTTAAAGCCTGTGCATAGGAGCTTATTTTTGTTTATTTTTTTTCCTGGCCTACCAGATCCCTCAGTTCTGAAAGTCTACACCTCTGATCCTGCTTCCTTCACCTTGGCCCTCATCACTTTTCCCTGATCTTCCCACTAGGTCCACAATTCTGCATCTGACACCCTCTGCCAGCCTCTCCGTGGAGCTGACACTGAATAACTTGGGAGAAGATGCTTACTGGGTCCAGCTCAGCCTGAGCTTACCCCGGGGACTCTCCTTCCGCAAAGTGGAGACGCTAAAGGTGAGTGAGAAGGCAGGGACTGCCCATGTGCCAGGGCACTTGTCTCACCTCTTAGAGACTCAGGAAGCCAGGACCGCCTAAAGACGTGGGCAGCAGCTGGCATGCAGAGGTCTTAGGGCCACATCTGGGTTTGCTGCCTGATGGCACCTTCAAGTCATATGACCTGAGATATAAGGTTCACCCTTTGTGAGCCTCATATTCCCCAACCAAAAAGAGAGTCTGGGGATACCCACAGGGCTAGTGAGAGGGTCTCATGAAATGGAGAATATGACAGAGGTTCTTGGACCTGGTGACCAAGAAGATGTGCACAGGTTTAGTGAGATTGTGCTACCTCCCTCCTGAAAGTGACCAGCATGTTTTTGAGAGATGGCATGGGTTGTTTTAAGTACAGCTTTTATTTTTTAAATTATTATTATAATGGTAATACATGATCCCCATAGAAACCTAAAAATTACAGAGAAGTTTAAAGAAGATAATCAGCCATACTTCTACAACTCAGCAATTACTTTTAATATTTTGGTGTTTATTGTTCTGTTTATATGTACAAATTACATTGTATATTTATTCTATATTTATTTTAACTAACTGGCATTTTGTTCTCGATATGTTTTTTTCCTCCGTGTTTTTTAAAATGTTTTCATTCCGGTAAAATGTATGTAATATAAAATATACCATCTTAACCATACAGTTCAGTCACATTAAGTACATTCATGATGTTGTGCAACCATCACCACTACCTATTTACAGTACTTTTCCATCATCTCAAACAGAAGCTCCATGCCCACTAAGCAATAGCTTCCTGTTCCCCACCGTCTGCTCATGATAACCTCTAATCTACTGTACATCTCTCTGCATTTGCCTATTCTAGATATTTTATGAGTGGAATCATATATGTCCTTTTGTGTCTGTCTAACTTCACTTAGCATAATGCTTTTGAGGTTCATCCATGTGAGACTATGTATGAATTTCATTCTTTTTAAGGCTAAGTAATAGTCCGTTGTATAGATATACCACATTTTATTTATCCATTCATCTGTCCATGGACACTGGAATTATTCTTAAATAAAAACACCGAATGCTTCCTTAAGGGGCATCTAATAGAGTGATTAAGAACTTGAGAGTCACAGACTTGTGTCCAAGTTCCTGCTGGACCCCTGCCAGATTACCCAGTTGTGAGAGCTTAGGAAAGGCACTTGACTTCCCTGAGCCTCTATTTTCTTATCTAATCACCTTCCCAACCTGAGGCTAAAATCTGTCCTACACGTTATGGTAAAGATGAATGGTTTTAGTCTATGGCCATGCTACCCTGAACAAACCTGATCCTGTCTGATCTTGGAAGCTAAGCAGGGTCGGGCCCGGTTGGTTAGTACTTGGATGGGAGACCATCTAGGAAGACCAGGTGCTGTAGGCGTAAAAAATAAAAAATAAGGGATTGTAAGCTGACAAGGTCCTTGCCATCTTGAGGTCAACCAAGGGTTGTCTCGCTTAAAAAAATAAATAAAAATGAAGAGGAATGGTTTTAAACTGCTTAGTCTAGGATCAAGCTCTTTTTAAAAATGGTTGCTGAAAGTGTAGATGTAGCCACATTTTAATGATCTCATAATATCCTCTCCTGTGATTGTATCACAATGTACTGAACCATTCCTCTCTCTTTCAGTTTTTCACTATTATAAATATTATTGCAGTGAATATCTTGGTCCTAAACCTCTGGCTGTGCCCCTGATTCTTTGACCCCACCTCTCTGAGAATGTGCCCGGAAAGGGACAGAACTGGAGGAAGTGGGCCCTAAGGGTTGGTGGCCTCTGGGGAACCCTTAGCCATGCCCACTGAAAAACTCATTCTCTTCTCACCCCCAGCCCCACAGTCAGATACCTGTGAGCTGCAAGGAGCTTCCTGAGGAGGCCACTCTTCCAACCAGGAGCCTCTCTTGCAACGTGAGCTCTCCTATCTTTAAAGCAGGCAGCTCGGTGAGTGTCTCAACTCCCTAGGTACCAAGCAGCCAGGGGCTTTGAGCTCAGAAGGGAAGGGAGCTGCTGGCTCTAGCCAAGAGTGCAGATGACTGGCAGCGAAGGGCTTACCTACCCCCGACCTCAGTGTGGAGACAATTTGTGTCATGTGTGAGAGCCTGGACTTGGGAATCAGACAAACCTGGAGATGGGTTATCTGTCTTATGACCTTACACATGACTTACACATTAACTCTTTGGAACCTCAGAATCCTCATCTGTATTGTGAGGATAAAACCCCTATCCCAGTGCTGGAGACATAGTGAGCACTCAATAAGTGGTTACTGTTATTATGGCAGTTGACTATAGGGGCTGTGAGATGCTAAGGCTGCCCCCTGAGGCTCAGACCCCTTCCTTCTTCATTCCCCTCTTCTCTCCTCCCAGATTGTTATCCAGGTGATGTTTCATACGCTGCTGAACAGCTCCTGGGGAGACTTTGTCAAGCTGCACGCCAATGTGAGCTGGTGAGCAGGCCCCAGGCAGGCCCCCACCAACATCCTTGCCCTGCTCTCAGACTGCTCTGCAGTCCTGGCCAAGCCCTCTGTTAACACTGCCCTCTCCCTTGCCCCAATGCAGTGACAATGAGGACACAGGCCTCCTGGAGGACAATTCAGCTGCCACCAGCATTCCAGTCCTGTACCCCATCAATATCCTCACCGAGGGGTGAGTCCTGAGCAGCCATCCAACCCTCTCCTTCAACCTCAGCCTCTCCACTCAGGGACTGACCTTGCCTCCCAGGGTTCTCCCTGAAAGCCCCCTCCCTGTCCTAGAGCCCACACCCCCACCATGGGGGTAATTAGAACTGACTCCAGCTACAACTCTAGCAGCTTTTAACACTCAAAAGAGCAAAGGCCTTTGAGAGCTGAGTCAGATTAACATTTAATCTGACTCAGATGGAAGAAAAAGCACATCGAATGCTGTCCTTATATCAGACTCTGTGCCAGCTCACTGCACAGCTGATACTTTCCCTGGAGCTTTGAATGCCTTGTGAGGCAGCAGTGCCCCTCTCCATTTTACTAGTGACCAAACTGAGGCTCAGAGAAGGGAAGAACTGGCCCAGAAGTCATACAGCTGGAAATTACTGATGGCGTGAACTGAACTTAGGTCTGTCTGACTCAAAGACCTGACCTTTACTTAGGTCTGTCTGACTCAAAGACCTGACCTTTACTAAGCTTGCTCTTTACTATTTTCAGCTGTGCTAGGTTTCCTCCCTCCTTGGGGCCAGCACTGTTAGTAGAGGTGAGAGAAAAGTTTCACGATGGCCCTTGCCCACAGAGAGTGTGTAGTCAGGTAGGAGAAACCAAACTCATGCACACACAGAATCAGTGAGTCTCAGGATGCTATGGCAAGAAGGACCCATAGGGACCACTGGTTGGATTTTCTCATTATACAATGATAGTGTTTGAAAGTGATAAGAAATCAGAGCCAGGAAAGATGATATTTGTTGGATGAGAGATGGAAGGGGTCATGAAAAGGTAGGGGCTTGAATTGGGCTCTGAAGGATGAGGATAGGGGCCAGGAAGGAGGAAGGACGTGTCACCAGAGAAAACATCGATGAAGGCATGGCACAGCAAACAGTCTGGCAGATCTGGGAGCAGGGAGTGGAAGGCTCAGGAGCTGTCAGGTCTGTTTGGTGATGTGGGCAGGCAGACTGGGACCTGACCCTGTGGGCAGCGGGGAGCCTTTGCTGGATTCTGTGGAGGCAGGATCAAAAGGTGATGTAAGGAAGGTCAAGGAAGAGATGGGGTGGGAAAAGGAGCCAGAGGCTGGTGCAGTTATCTAGGAGATGAGCAGTGGGGCCCAGTGCAGTGGAGACCCTGGTGCAGTGGTGTGTAGCAGGCAGAACGTGGCTCCAAAGGCACACCCGTCTGCGCTCCAGTCCCGGCCCTCTACTGCAGGACTTTGCCCAAGAGGCTAACCCCTTCCACAAGCCTTAGTTTCCAAAGGGAAACAGCAGGGCATTGTGGGGATTACATGCAGCCATGGCAATGCCGTTGGTAGCACAGTGCCAGCCACTCAGGCTTCCCCTGACCCAGCCCCCCTGCCCTCCAGAAGACTGGTTTGCGGTCTTCTTCACCTTCTACCTCTGCTTTTCTCTCCCTCCGCAGCCAGGAAAACTCCACCCTCTACATCAGTTTCACCTCCAAGGGTTCCAAGATCCACCATGTCAAGCACATCTACCAGGTATGAACCTCAGTGTGAAAAGGTCCTGATAGGTCACACGTTCATTCAGCCCCATCCTGGGGACCGAGGATGCAGAGAACCATTAGATGCAGTCCCGTCCTCAGTGAGTCCAGCCCTCCACCTAGTTAACTGATCCTTTTTGTCTGGTTTCACAGCCTCCAATAGAATGTTTCCAGTGGCAGCATACTCACTAACTCCTTTCCAGCCCTGGATAAATTATCACAGACTTTGAGAACCAGAACTGGGAACCTTGCCTTTATTCAAACATTTAATGAGCTGATGTTCTAGTTTAGGTACTTCACTAGGTGCTGGAGCCGCTCTAGATAAAACAGGGCCCTTGACCACTCATCAAACTCAAGTTCTGTGCCTGGTGCTCTATGTATGCAAAACCCTCTAATTCTCACACCAACTTGTGAGAGCGTATCAGCTAGGCATCGTCATTCCTTTTTACAGATGAGACACTGCCTGGGGCACAGATAGGTCAAGTAACTTGCCCAGATTTTCACAGCTAATAAGGGGACAGGTCAGATTCAAGCACTTATTTGAATACCAAAATCCATGTGTTTAACCTTGAAGATAAGAGTCTGTCATTGCTCATGCGATATGCTCAGTGCTGTAATGGCAGTTTCCATTACCAGCACTCAGAAGAAGGAGTCTAAGAAGAAGCCCGCTGGGTCAAAGGCTTGAGGAGTCTAAGGCTTTCTTAGACCTAACCTCTGGAAGAGGAGTGGGCACTGACCAAGTCAAGAGCATTTTCATTTTACTGCGGGGGAAACTGAGGCCTCGAAAAGGAACTGTCTCACCCAAGGCCACACTGGAGCCAGGACAGACTGGGAAAGGAGCCCAGAAGTAAAGGGGCCTGAAGCAGTTCAGGTGCCTTCAGAACAGAGGCTGGAGCCATTTCTCCGTGAGACTGCCACGAAGGAGAGTGTGGCCTTTGGGAAGGTCACATGCTTGTTTGAAATAGAATGTTTTGAATAGCCAGTTGAGTTGGCTTCTAGTGCTGTTCACTGGAATGGCTCTGGGTTCACGAGGAGGTTGGCCAGGCCAGTCTTTTTACCTGGCAGGCATGGATCTAAACCCCAGCTCTGCCACTTGCATGCTTTGTGGCCTTGGGCCAAAGACTTACCTGTCTATGCCTCAGTTCCCCATCGCAAAAAGAGTTTGGAATAAGAATTTCACAGGTGGCCGTGAGGTTCAGTGGGTTACCTGCTCCCTGTGGAGTGCTTGGTGCAGTGCCTGGGGAAGTAGAGGTTGTGAGGTGGGTGAGGTGGGTGTTGTGCTGTGCCCTGAGAACCCCCAGCTACTTAGAAGGCCTCCTTTCATTCTTGCCTCACTCAGCCCAGAACCAGTTCAAACCCCTGAGTTTCTCCCTCAGAAGAGTCGTCAGGGCTAGTTGGCTCCATCTGTCTCACACCCTCCAGCACCTTAAGCCAGCATTTGATTCCCCACCACTTGGCCCTCCAAGCAGCTGCTTTTGCTAAAGCCCCTTATGTCTTCTCTGTTTTAACTAAACCCAACACAATATAGGACATGGGTGATCCATTCCTTCTTTCTTAAAACTGTCCCATGAGTCAGGCCCTTTTTGCCACAAGGAGGTCAGCTCTAATAATTGAGGTTTATTGTAACCTAGACAGGCATGGAACCCCGTGAGAGCTGGACAGCTGGGCCACAGGATCTCCTTCCTCATGGTCCCCTGCTCCTCTGGCTGGTTAGGAACATAAGCTTCAGCCAGACCTGAATCTTTTTAAACATTGCCACTTAAAGCTGTGTGGCCTTAAGCAGTTTACTTGACCTCTCTGAGCCTCAGTTTTTCAATCTATAAAATGTGGATAGTAACACCTACTTTATGGGGTTGTTTTGAAGAGCAAATGAGAAAATATGTGTTACGTTCTTAACATAGTGCTTGACACCTAAGGTACTTGTCAACATTGGCTGTTTTAGTCATCCAAGGAAGGTGATGAAGCATAGTGGTTCCAGTCTCTGGTTTGAGCCTAGATTAAAATGCCAGCTCTGCTACTTGATAGCTTCAGACAAATTAACTTCAGTGAGCCCTAGTTCTCTCATCTGTAAAATGGGGATGATAATGTCCACCAAGTAAGAATCCTGACGGAACTAAATGAGATGATGCACTTAGTGAGAATTAGAAGAGACCTGGCCCTCCAAGTGCTCAGTAAATGATGATTGTTATTACGCATGTGTTCTAACCCGCTGTCTTCTGCTTTGTCATCATTACCATTCCCTTAGCAGTACGTGGCTCTGGGCTGGCACTACTGATTGCTCTGTGTCACTTTCCACAGTGTCAGTGACCCCTTTCCAGCTGACAACTCCAGCTTGTGTCCCTCCTTCTCCAATACACCTGTCCCTGCAGCTTGTCACTCATCTCCACTGAAATGTCTTCCTAGCATCTTTTTTTGATCTTTTAACAGCTTTATTGAGAACTAATTCACATACCATACAATTTACCCACTTAACGTATATGACTCAATGGGTTTTTTAGTTTATTCACAAATTTGTACAACCATCATTATAATGTAATTGTAGAACATTTTCATTGCTCCAAAACAGAAACCCCGTACCCATGTACTATCACTCCTTCATCTTCCCTCCCCCAGCTCCTGTATAGACTCTTGTCTCTCTGTATTGATTTACCTATTCTGAACATGACATATAAATGAAATGATACAATATGTGGTGTTTTGTGACTGGCTTCTTTTAGCATAGTATTTTCAAGATTCATCCATGTTGTAGCACGTGTCAGTATTTCATTCATTTTTACTGCCAAATAATATTCCACTGTAAGGTAGGTCACATTTGATTTATGCATCATCAAGTCATGGAACTTTGGGTTGTTTCTACTTTGGGGCTGTTATGGGTAATGCTGCTTAAACATTCCTGTACAAGTTTTTGTGTGAACATATGTTTTATTTCTCTTGGGTCTATAACTAGGACTATAACTGCTCCTCTTGAAGCTTTGGCCTCAACATGTTCTAAACCAAATTTATTTATTATCTTTTCCTAAGCTAGCATCTTCTCTGGCTTGCTTAGAATCTTTTAAAAGACCACTTTTTCCTCAAGCAAAACTTTCAAGTCTGGGTGAATTTCTCCTTCCAATATAGCTAGACCCACTGCCTCCTCATCTTCTGTGGTCTGTATCCTCTTTTCTCTTTTGTCTCTGCTACTGCTCGGACTCAGTTCCTCATCTTCTTGCAACTGGACCACTGGCATAGGCTCCAAGCTTGGGCCTCAACCCACCTTTCCCAGCTTCTTTCTATTCCATACCTGCTGTGGATGCGTCTCACTGGAGCCGCCCCATCCTCAGCTGCCTTCCATGACTCTCCATTGCCGAGCAATGGTCCCCTGACTTCTTGCCCTCAGGCCTTCTGGGCCCCACAGTCTGATCCAGAGTCTCCTTTCCAGACTTATCTCCTCTCTCTCCTTCCGAGCACCCTACCATTTAGCCACAACACACTCACCTGGTGCTGGCCTAACTCCCGCCCTTTTTCTTTCTAGATGCCTTCCCCATCTTCATCTGTTAATTTCCTGTTTATCTTTCACAGTTAAATTCGTATTCTGCTTCTGACATTAGACCTTTTTAGTTTAACTGATATTTTTAAAGCATACACAAATGTTTACTGAATGAATAAATGATAGAACCTCTCGAACTGGATATATATTTCCATGCTTGACTTCCCTGAGACCTTTATTGGTGCTGCCCTTGTGACACTTTTTTATATATGTCTGGGTCTTCCAATCCGAGCACAGATAGCTCTTTTGTATAAAAGGTACTCGGGAAATATTTATTAAATTAATTTAACGCACTTGCCACAATGAGTCTTTCCCAACTTGCATTTTGCAAATAATTTTTGCATCTGTCTTTGTTAAATGTCATTCATTCTTTTATTTATTCAAAAAACTTTCTTAAGGCCTGTTATTTGCTAGCTACTGTATCCAACAGGAGGGAATTGTAGGTGAAATAAATCCCAGCTCCTGCCCTCGTGAAGTCCACATTCTATTGGAGATACAGACACATCAGCAGATACTTTGTCATCCTGCTGGAGATGTAGACTGCTGTGGGAACACAGTAGAGGGAAGCTGCCCTATCCTTGGGGAGTCAGCCAGACTTTTAGAATGATATATTTGAGCAGTACCTTCCAGGATGTCTGAGGGCTGGCCGCATGGAGAAAGCCAAGAAGTACGTGTAACCCACACTGAATTGAGGACAGGGATGGGATGCGACTGATCACTGCCCACTGCTTGACAATGAGTGGGCCCTTGTGCCTCAGCCAGTGAGAATTGGACCTGGGGTAGCAGTTAGGGTGTCTGGCATCCAGGGCTCAGCAGCTCTTTTGTTCTCTATACCAGGTGAGGATTCAGCCGTCCGTCCATGACCACAATGTGCCCACCCTAGAGGCCTTGATTGGTGTACCGCAGCCTCACAGTGAGGGGCCTATCACACACAAGTGGAGTGTGCAGATGGTGAGTACTGCTCAGGGGAGGGAAGGAAGCTCAGGTCTGTGGAGTTGAGCTCATAAAGGGATACAGAGGCATGGGAAGAGAGTGAAGATGGATGAATCCTATCACACTCAGTTATGTCTGAATCTTCCAAGGGCTAGCTGGGGAGAACTGGGATTTCAAGGTCATATCTAGAGGGTCAGGATGAATGCCAGGTTCTGGCTTTAAGGGGCCAATGTCCTCTCTCAGCTCTGAACTAACTGAAGATCCCACCTTATCATTCCTAGGAGCCTCCTGTTACCTGCCACTATGAGAATCTGGAGAGGTCGCCCAGTGTGACTGAGGTATGGACATGTGAGCTAAGAAACTTGAGTGTGGGCTGGGCAGAATGCAAGTAGGAAGACAATCTCTCTGACCCCTTGCTGTTCTTTATTCCTAGCAGCCTTGTTTGCCTGGAGCCCTATTCCATTGCCCAGTTGCCTTCAAGCAGGAGATCCTCATCCAAGTGACTGGGATTGTGGAGCTGGTGGGGGAGATCAAGGTAGCACCCACCAGCATCAGACACAGAAGTGGTTGTGGGGGCCTTGAGGGGTGGAGGTGGGTTCCCTACCATGTGGTCTTCCTGCATTTCCTGTTTTATCTTGATGAAAAATCCCCAGTGTTTGAAATTTGAAATTTGCAGTGCTGTTTTCATCGACCTGTGAACAGTTCTTATACATTCTTTATAGGAGAACTTTTCTTCCATCAGTGGAGTGTAGCACATTAGAATGCTGCAGTATAAAACTGAGTAGATGTGGTACACCCCACTAGGACCCATTCTCTTCTGCCCCTTGAGTTGAAGTGGGGCAGAGTCAGTGGATTCTTGGGCCTCGTGCTCCATGGCTCTGACGCCTTCCCCTCCCCTCCCACAGGCCTCCTCCATGTTCAGCCTCTGCAGCTCCCTCTCCGTCTCCTTCAACAGCAGCAAGCATTTCCACCTCTACGGCAGCAATGCCTCCCTGGCCCAGGTATCTCTCTACCTCCTCAGAAGACCCAGGAATAGAGGTCTGCAGAGAGATCTGAGGAACCACAGGGCAGAGCTGGAAAAGCCAGAGCTAGAAGTGGGCAGCCATACGGAAGGAGGTGTGGGCTTAGCACAGTAAGAACTTCCCCAGAGGCAGAGCTCATGGAAGCCGTGAGCTTCTACCACCACCAATGGGCAAACAGACCACAAGGTCACCTGTCTGAGGTGTGTCAGGTAAAGATCAAATTGATGGCAGCTCAGCAAAGGGGTACCCACCCCTCAGGTAGAGTGTGAAGGGAAGACACTCTAAGTAGAAAGAGAGCAAGTGCAGGGCTCGGAGTTGAGACAGTGGGCGAGGGAGTTTTAAGAGCAGGAGACTCAGAGCAGGAGAAGGGAAGTCGCAGCTAAAAAGATAAGCAGAAGCCGGATTCTAGAAGGCTTTCATGCTGAGCTGAGATTCCAGCATGTTCTCCAGGGACTAAAGGAAGCCATTTAAGGGCTTAAGGTGGGCCATGGTGCATGTTTGCCAGTTCACTCTGCCGGCTGCTGCAAGAAGTATACTGGAAAGGGGGGTGGGGCCAGAGCCTGGTGTCGTGACACAGTCTAGACTGGAAATGCAAAGACCTAGAGATTGAGGCCGGATTCACAAGAAATGTTAGTGGAGGCCGGGGCTGGCGGGGGCGGGGCGGGCTTCTTCTCTGTATTTCTCTCCTCTCGTTCTCCCCAGGTCATCATGAAGGTGGACATTGTATATCAGAAAGAAATGCTCTATCTCTACGTGCTGAGCAGCATTGGGGGGCTGTTGTTGCTGCTGCTGATTTTCCTGGTGCTCTACAAGGTGGGGGCTTCTGGGAGGAATGGGTATGGCTGAGATGGGCAGAAGATTGGCAGGAGTCAGGGAGGAGAACACCAATATCAGGGAGCAACAAAGCCAGAAGGGATTTCAGCCTACTCTTTCCTTCTACAGATAAGGCTGGCTACTGAGCCCCAAAGAGCAAATGAGATTTTTCCCCATCACTCCACCAGGCACTGGTAGGGCCAGGACTGGGTACCCAGGGAGAGGAAGGAGAAGGGCTCTCCTACATATCGAGGGTCAGGCACTGGGATACAGAGGCACATACCACAAACATGGCCCCCACATTTGTGGAACTCACAGTCTAATGGGACAGACAGACAGGAACACACATGATGAGGGCTCCACTAGGGGGACCTGTGTGCTCTGGAGCCCATAATGCAGGAGCCTGACTTAGGCTGGGGGAGTCTGGGAAGGCCTCCCAAGCGAGGTGGCATTTGAGTTGGGATTTGAAGGATGAGTAGGAGTTAGCCAGATGAAGAGTACTGAAGGGAAAGTTTCTTCCCATTACCCCTCCAGAGGGTTGTCATTAACAACTTTTTGTTTCTGTTTCTCCAGGATGTAGTTTTATTGTTAACATATGTACGTGTGTGAGCATGAGAGAGAGAAAGAGAAAAGTCAATGTATGTGTGTATATATTGAAAATGTAAATGAGATTAGACTGAATATGCTGCATGGGAGCTTGTATTTTCCCCTGGATATTATATCTTGATGTCTTTCCATCTGACCACAATCAGGTCTACCTCTTGCTTTGTAACCCGGGTGGTTTTCTCTGCTGTCTGGGTACCCCACCTTTTAACAAGTTCTCCATTGATGAACATTTAGATGGTTTATAATTTACATCTGTTCCAAACAGCATGACAAAAGAGGTTCTTGTTACACACCTCTTTGCACCCTTGTCCAAATATTTTTTAGAATTAATTCCTAGACCTGGACATGGAATTGGTAAGCCAAAGAATATATATCTTTTGAGCTTTCAACAGAGAGTGCATGACACATTCTAAGCACTATATAAGCGTGGGCTCTTACTATTAGTATTACTAGATATTGTCAAATCACACACCTAAAATATTGGTACATGACATTTTGATGAGCCTGAAGAATGAACTAGTAAGTGTACAGCTTTTTAACATGTTGCCAACAACCAGCTGTGGCAGACACCCTCACCCCATCCCTAGAGTAAACACCACATGTCAGCAGCACTTGTGATTTATTAACATACAGAGTGCTTTCATGTTTTGATAGGACCACCTGTGTTCCATGACTTTTCGCTCACTCAATTTTTGTCTTCCTACAGGTTGGCTTCTTCAAACGGGATTTGAAGGAGAAGATGGAGGCTACTGTCGATGCCTCCAATGGAATCCCTGGAGAGGACTCTGGGAAGCCAGCATCTGAAGAAGAGGCTGTGGATCCAGGCTGCCTGGATCCCCTGCATAAGGAGGATGCCCAGGATGGAGGTGGCACAATCTGAGGCCCAGACCTGAGGCAGAGGGCCCAGGACTGGACTCGGGATGTCTGGTGCAGGTCTGCCTGTAGCTGCATGCCATTCTGTGCCCTCTGGCAAAGTTATTACCTCTCGCTAGGCCTCCATTTTTCTGTCTTGAACATGGAGAGCACTCCTGTCTGCCTCCTTTGCAGGCTTATGGTGAAGATTCACCAAAGGATGGGCCAGGAAGGCCATGGAGGCGAGGCCTTGTAATCATCAGGTAGCCCTGGTTCCCACCAGCCCCTCTTAGTTTCCTCCCCTGGAAGAGAAAATCTGATCTAAATTTGGAGAAACCGTAGTCCCAGGACCTAGTGACACTCCTGGTCCTCAAACCCACCTGCCCATAGAGGTCCACAAAGCCCTCAGACTCCCAGAACCTTGCCCCACACTCTCTCCTGCCTGGAGTCCAGCCAGTTTTTCATTCTGCTTCCAGAGAGCAGATATGATCTGTGTCACTTCATTGTTGCTGCAAACCTCTTGCTCTTTGGCTGAAGACCAAATTCCTTAATATGCCTTCCAAAATCTGCAAAATATCCTTAATATGCCAATGCAGAATTGGGCCCTTGTTGCCTTCCCGGCCTCCTATAGAGATGACATCCCACAGCCTTTCCTAAGCCCCAGTTACACCAGCATTTCTCACTTGCCAAGCTCCTTACTGTCTCACCACCTTCGCTCAGACTGCTCTCTCTGCCTGCAGCATTCCTCCTTCCTCCTTTTCCTGGCTAACTCTCGTCAGTCCTCAGATCTCCACTTACACATCACTTCTTCATGGCAGCCCCCTGAACCTGACTCATTTGGGTTTTCACATTATGCATGCTCACATTAGCCTGTAATTGTCCATCATAGCACAGATCTTATTTGTTAACTGTTAAATGATTTAACTTAATTTTCATCTCTCAAATAAAGTGAACTCCAAGGGTAGGAACTGTACTTCAGGATCCCTGATGATATCACAGAGCCAGACACATAGTTGGTGCCTAACATAATTTCATTCGATTAGTGAGGGAGCCTGTGGTAAGATAGAGAAAAGTTTGGATGGTCCATGGTATCCCCATTCTTAAAGGCTCAACCTTCCCTGAGTGCCTGCCCTCTTCCTCCACAGCCCCAACCAGAACGTCATCATCCCCAACTATAGCCCTCACTGTGAGACTCTGAGCTCAAGGGCAGGGACCATATCCATTCACCTGGCTCCTAGTGCCAAGCACACTGCCTACATATATTTACCCAATAAATGCGAAATTCCGTCCAATTTTGTGAAGTTTCTATGCTGGTGCAACATTGCAGTCTGACTCAATTAAATGATCATTTTCTTAACCATTTTACTAAGTGGGACCCAAGTAGTAGTTCTTATTTATCTTTCTTTCTTTATTATTATTATTTTTTTCCATCATGACCCTCAGAAACTGATTGGCACTTGATATTGTGAGTTAGTTCAAAAGAGAAGCAGGGAGGGAGACACAGAAAATGAGAAAAGATTAAGGAAGCATTGACAATTCATTTAGATGTGAGAGTTGACCTTCCCTTGCTCCCCCACCCCCCACCCTTTTTAAACCCTGTCACTTCCTCCTTTAGAAGGGATAAAGGGAAAATATTGACTCATTCTACGGCCAGCTCCAGGTCCAGCATCAGGAAGTAAGAAGCAACATTTGGTCCCCAAGCAGTGACCTTTGATGGCTCCCTTCTACCTATAGAGTGGAGTGAGTGAGCATTCCCAAGACTGGCAGACAACCCAGAAAAATCTCTGAAAGGCTGTTGGCCTTTCCAACATTACTGAGGCCCTTCTGGTCCAGTCCCCAAAGAATATTGAGGCTGGATCCTAAGCAAGACATCAGGAAGGAAGAAGTGAGGCCCATTTTTCCATAGCGGGAAAATGTTTTAACTGTCAGTAATATCACAGAACTACTAAAAGTATATGAAATTATCTGTAGGTCTCATGAAGCATAAGTCAGGTTGTACTCATTTATGAAGTATTTCTTGAGTGCTTTGTCTCATGCTCTGTTCTGTGCTCTGAGGACATGGTGATGAACATGACAGACAAGTCCCTTCCCTTGGGAAGCTTCACTACAGTGGGAAAACAGTAAAAAAGTAGAAATGTGATTCTAAACAGCAATAGGGCTATGAAGAAAATGAAGCAGGATAAGGGGTTAGAGGGTGATGGAGAGAGAGGGTCCTTTTAGATAGGTGGTCAGAAAAGTCTAAGGAGGTGATATTCTGTGACATGGGGAGGGTGGGGAGTGGATATTTTCATTCAGGTTGAAAACAAAAAGCAAAGAAGATCTGGGAGGCTCATTTCAAGAACAGACCTGCCATCGTCCCCAAGAATCTCAATGGTTCTTGTTCTTGAATACCTATGTGTCCTTTCCCACCTCTGTGCCTTTGCACATGTTCCCCTTGCCAGCATGTGCAGTTCCACCTCTTTCCTATCCATGAAAACCTTACTACTTCAGAGCACTTCGAAGCTTCTCCCAGTCCCACAATTTCTGGACAAAAAGACCTGTTCCATCACCACTTTGTTTATACCACATACACTGACTGTATGGACTCCTGTCTCAAGACTAGGAGGTTCTGGAAGGCAGGACTGAAGTCTTACATATGTTATCAACAGTGACCCCTCACTAGGGCTGGCACAAAGAACGTGTTCAAATGAGGCCCTCAAATGTTTTGGCCTCAATGTTTTAAGACCTCTTAAAAATCATTGAGGATCCCCAAAGAGCTTTCATCTATATGGGTTATATGTACTGGTATTTATCCAATTAGAAATTAAAATAGAGAAAAATGTAAAACATAAGAACACCTGAGTCTATATTCCATGCAAGCCATCAGAGTAATGACATTTGCCACGACATGTCATGCAGCCTCTAGGAAACACGGCACTTACGTGAGAAGGACAGTAAAAAAGTAAATAACATCTTAGTATTGTTAGGAAAATAGTCAAAACCCAGTCAACCCTAGCTTTGAATCCAGGCTCAGTTGTGTAATGTAGGATAATTACTTATTCTCTCTGGGACTCATTTCTTCATTTGTAAAATGGGAATAACAACTGTGTATATATCTCAGAGCTGTTGTGAGCATTAAATGAGATAATACTTGTAAACTGTTGAGCACTGTTGCTATAGCGCACCAGTGCTTGATAACAGTGGTGGATAGAAATGGTTGTTCAGATGTGCAGAATGGTATGGTAAAGGCAGCGTGCTGGACTGTAAATCAAGACACCAAATATTGGAGTCCTAGCTCTTCCACTAGCTCTACCGCCCAGATCTTGGGGGAATACTTGTGCCCTTTCTGGGTTTGGTCTGCCCCACCTGGGATCTGGCAGTACTTTGGGGGTTATTGCGGAAGGGAGAGGTGGGAGCTGAGCAGCCAAGTCCCCACCCTCATTTGATCAGCTTGTACATACTAAGGTTCTGTGCATACAGGCTACTTTATCAATTGAGCGTCACAGGCACTATGCCCAGCGCCTCCTAGCTCTCAGAGGCCTATGAACTTGTTTGGGAACTGAAAAAAATCAACTCAAAAATATGAAAATTAAATTGTGTAATTGAAATAAATGTTGAAATAACATTTACAAATGCAATATGTAAGGTAGTCAAATGCAGTTCTATTCAATGTATGTAATTAAATATATGAACTATATTAAATGTGGGAATTGGAGTATTTTAATATTTGAAATTTTGTGTGATAGAGTATGACGATATAAAAAAATGAATAAAGTTTACAAAGGTCTTTAAAATGTCAAGATTTTACTTGAAAAATCTACTTCCAAAAATAATTAAAACTTGGGCTACCACTAAACAGAACCAAACTGTATTGAACTGTATGATCTCCAAGGCCCCTTCCAGTGCTTGCAGATCATGAGAGGCTAGATTGAAATGTACTTAGAAAAGTGATTTACTCTTGACAAGATATAAGGCCCTGAGGATGGGCATGGGGCTTAGGATGATGTCAGGATCCTGAGGCCCAAGAAACTTCGTAAATCAGACTCCCCACCTGTCTTGTGGCCAAGCTGCTGGGGGCAGGTGGAGCCAGGCAGACGTAATCTGAATGTCTTTCCTGCCTCTTAGCCGTGAGTGACTATGAGCAGGTTACTTAGCTCTACGAGCTCCATTTTCCTTTTCTGTGAAATAGAATAAACCTTCACAGAGCACTGTCAGGCCCTTAGCAGGAGTTTATCTCAAGACATGCCCAGCAGGGTGATTCCCTAAGGTGTGGTCTGTCCTCAGCTAAGCTCACAACACGCCAGAATCCCTGACACTCACTAATAACACCAACTCCCCATCCTTTCCTGAGGAGCCAAGTGTTGCAAGGGGTGAGGCTCAGATGGGAAAGGGAAATAGGGTAAAGTAAAGCTAGAGTGGTCCCACCAATAGATACAGGGATCCTAAAAAGGGGCAGCAGACCTGCAGCAAATCAGACCTACCCTGGTGAGAGGGTTCTAAAGGCTAAAGTGAATCCTCATACTGGGCCCAATACATGACCCCCTATGGGTGGGGTTGGAACTTATGGTTCTGGTCAGAGTCAGGGTCTGCACAGAATGGTGGCTAGAGGTTCCAGCTTGTGGGGCAGGGGGAATGGCACAGCTGGGTGCTGGAAGCCAAGGAGAGGGAACGCATGCTCCACGCCCGGATATAAGAATCAGGGTCTGTTTTCTGGTGCAAGTGCACACCCTCTGTGTTTGGGAAGAGAGATATCCACAAAGTTGAGGGCTTTCTCAAACCCACAATGGGCCCCCTGTGAGTCTGTGCAGCATGCAAAAAGCATGGGATATAAACTCTGGCAGATATGGGAAAGTCATGTCTCCTGAGATTCAGATTGTAAGATTTCAGTAAAATACTGAATATAAAATCACTTCCCAGCACTTCCCTATGGCTTCACTGTTCGCAGTTATGACCTAGTGACTTCCACTGCCCAGGGTATTACTGTCCATGCACACATTTTAAGGACAAATCTCTTTTACCACATAAAGGTTTTTATTGAACTCAAATTCAGGGGCTCCAAAGCCTGAGAAGACAAGGGAGGCTAGGGTTTGCACTCCGAGGCGTAGGCCCCACTCTGGGCTTTACTCCCCATCCCACCTGCCTTCACCCCTTCCTGACTGAACAAGGGTCTCAGTAGCTACCAATCTAGGCTACCCTACTCTAATTTAGGAACCCAACCCCTCCCTCCCCCCACCCCCATCTAGCACCCACCAAGGGGCATGCTGCTGCTGAGGCCAGCTTTCTGTTGACCTCTTTCTGGATTCTCCCAGAGCCTCCTGCTGCCTGTTTGGCCTCCCTCCAACCCCTCTTCATTACCCATTTCCCATAAGTCTCCAGGGCATGTAACTTCCTCCACCCTGGCCCCCTTTTCCTATAACCCTCAACTCTTCCTTTCTCCTCCAGCTTTTCCACTATTCTAAAGATTTCTCTAGCTCCCTGTCCCCTCCTCTTCTGCCCACCACCGCCCTGCCCCTGACAGCACCCCAGGTCAGCGCCTGCCGGCAGCGTGGGTCCGCTGGTGACGGATGAGGTCAGAACTCTGTGAGAAGGCCTTGCCACAGTCATCGCACTTGTAGGGTCTCTCCCCGCTGTGAACCCGATGATGCTGCAGCAACGTTGAAGAGCGGCAGAAGCCCTTGCCACACACAGCGCACCTGTAGGGCCGCTCGCCTGTGTGGGAGCGCTGGTGCTGAATCAGAGTGGAGGAGCGGTTGAAGGTCTTGCCGCAGTCAGGGCAGCTGTAGGTGCGGCCTGGCAGGTGGGTGCGGGCATGGATGGCCAGCACAGAGCTCTGGCCAAAGCGCTTGCCACACTCAGGACACTTAAAGGGCTTCTCACGGGCATGGCTGCGAGCATGGGGGATAAGTGCCGAGCGCTGGGAGAAGCTCTTGCCACAGATGCCACAGCTGAAGGGCCTTTGCCCAGTGTGCACCCTCTGGTGACTACGCAGGGATGAGTTCTGGCTGTAGCATTTGCCACACTCGGGGCAGCTGTAGGGCCGCTCATGGCTGTGGGTACGCTGGTGCCGCAGGAGGTAGGAGCTGTCACCAAAGGCCTTGCCGCAGTGCGGGCACTTGTAGGGCTTCTGACCAGAGTGGGTGCGCTGGTGGCGAAGCAGGTAAGAGCTGTCAGCGAAGGCCTTGCCACAACGGGGACACTTGTAGGGCCGCTCACCCGTGTGGGTGCGCTGGTGTTTGATGAGGTCAGAGCTCTGGGAGAAGGCCTTGCTACAGACCTCACATTTATAGGGCTTTTCACCTGTATGGATACGCTGGTGCTGGATCAGGGTGGAGCCCCGCCCAAAGCTCTTTCCACAGATGCCGCAGATATTAGGCCGAGGGCCCTGCCCACCCCTGGCCCGGCCACCCCTTCGGCCTGGACCCCGCAGGGTACCCGTCAGGCCCAGAGGATTTTGGAGCATCTCAAACTGGGGTGTAGCCAGCAGGGCCTCCGTAGGCACCTCAAAAGGTGGCCCAAGGGGCAGGCCCCCTGTGGGTTGCTCACCAAACCCCTGGGTGAAGGAGTCCAAGGGATGGGCTCCCAAGGGGATGCTCAAAGGATTCTTTCCCTCAGGACTGTGAAGCATCTCTGCTCCTTCCTGGAATTTGGAACTCTGAGCTTCAAATTCAGGGCTTTGGGTTTTGAACTCAGGGTTCTGGGGTTCATAGCTGGAGCTCTGAGATTCATATCCAGGGCTCCGGGGTTCACACCCAGGGCTCTTGGGTTCATACCCAGGGCTTTGGGGCTCATATCTAGGACTTTGTGGTTCAAACTCAGGGCTCTGAGAATCTGATTCTGGGCTTCTGGGTGCGAATTCAGGGCTTGGGGGCACAAACCCAGGGCTTCGGGACTCAAAACCTGGGCTTTCAGGCTCAAACCTGGGGCTTTGGGGTACAAACTCTGGGCTTTGTGGCTCAAACCCAGGGCTCTGGGGTTCAAGCCCAAAAGGTATTTCTTCGACCTCATAGTCCCCAGTGCATTCTTGCTGAGAAATGTCCTCTTCCTCATTCTCACTGATGTTGCCTGTAGGATCAGAGAATTACAAAAAATCCAGATTTTGTGGGGCATAGGTCACTAGTTCCTACCATTATTTGCCACAAACCTCTCCCTCCTCAAACACAGTAGCTGGCCCTTCGGCAGGTGCTGAAATTCCCACCTTCCCCTCAACAAATCCAGGACACTCGGTCCCAGCCCCGGCCCACCCCAAGTCCCAGTTGTCCAAGTCCCCCGCTCCCTACCCCTTCCATGGACCAGAGCCCTCTTTCCCGCTCCCAGACACGATCCTCGGAGGGGCGCTCCCTCCCTCACCTTTGAGGGACCCTTCGGGGCTCCCTATTTCGTCAGGACTTTGCACATCCCGGGGCTCAAGGCCCCACGGCGACGCCTCCCGTTCCATCCCCGCAGGCTCCCAGTGCGGCGGCAGCAGTGGCGATGGCGGATGATCCTGAAACCCGGCCTGAGCGCCCTGAGACCAGGGCCCTCGCTGCCCGCCCACTCAGCGCCGCCCCGGAGACCCGGCTGCCCAGCCCGGGCCCCCAAGGCCGGACGTCTTGACCCTGGGCCTCTAGGGCCGGCCGAGCCCCTCCCCTCCCCGCGGCCCCTCCACCACCCACAAGGTCTCGGCTTGCCCTGGGGCCCTCACAGGTCCCCACGCGTCGTGGCCTCGGAGACGAGGGGCTTCACGACGCGTCCTACCGCCTTCAGAGACCTCTTCCCACCCGAGACCCCGCAGTCTGGCCTCCCAGCCCCCGGCTGGGCTGCGGTTGTCCGACCCCCTCCCCCCGCACAGGAAGTGTCCGTCCGCGGCCAGTTTCCCCCGTTGGCTAGCGCTGCGGCCTCTCTAGGAGCGGCTGGAGGTGGAAACTCGTTGGCATTAACCCTGGGCTGGAAGGCCCCCTCGTTGAGGTGGAGGACGGGGCGTCCTGGAGCCGGCGAGAGACGCTGGGGCAGTTTCTGTGCCTATGTCCCAGGTTTCCTTCCGTCCGGAGGGCCTATCTGTCCTTCTCCCGGGCTCTGCGTCTGTCAGGGACTGTGGCCAAGGGCGAGACGACAGGAGAGACCAAGGTCAGGGAGAAGGAGCGACGCTTCCCGGCGCCAGCGGGGGCGGTGTCTAGCTCCCCTCCGCTCCCGGGCCTCGGGGTCAGCTCCGGCCGCGCCTCCGGAACTTGGACGGACACCCCCCTCCCTGGGGTCATTGAGACTCCTGAGTCTGGGACCCCCCCTTCCTCTAATTCCACTGCCCCTGAACGCCGTGCCCACCCCCCATTTCTGGCTCCCTCCTCTCTGCGCCTCCTAATTTCTACCCTTCCCCCACCCGCCCCCCGCAGGGATAGGATCGTTGCCAAGGAAACAGTTCCGCCTCGGATCTGCAGGGGCACCGCCCCTACCTCCTAGAGAGCTCGGCAATTGGCGGGTGAAGCTCCTGTGCTCACCGTCCCGCCACCTCCCACTACTCCAACTGCTAAGCGTTAATGGTCGCCAGGAAACGCGAGGCATCTTTCTGATTGGTTGGAGAGTGCGCAACCGGAACCACCTACCCCGTCCGCCAGAAGTGCCGGCGGGAGGAGTGGGAGGGACCTGCCTGGCGTCTGCCCTAGAGCCGGGTCTTTACTTTTAGTACTTTTCCCGCTCCAGTACCCATCGTTATGTTTTATCTTTCTGAAGAATGAAAGCCAAGGGATCTGGGGACAGACACCCTTCCTCCCCTAGTCTTCTCCCACAACTCCGTTTACCAGCACTTTTCCTTCCTACAGGTCTAAAGTGCTGAAGGGGCCAGTCTGGGGATCCTCCCTCAGAGAAGAGGCTGCTTTCTTTTCGATTATTCTGCCTCTCCCCTTCACCATCCCCAAAGTCTAAATTTAACTCTTT